GGAAGTTCTGTGTTCTAACAATCTCAATGGTACACATTTCATAGAGTAACAAGGAAAGATGAGAAAATTGTTAAATTATAGAATTTCTTTGTTTCGATGAAAGAATATTGTCAATTTGAGAGTATTTGTGAGGATAAATTGTACACTCGAATTGAGAAATATAGAAACTTCTTTTCCTTTCGTTTCATTCCATGAAATTCGTACTATTGAAATTGTTAAATTACAGGATTTCTTTGTTTCGATGAAAGAATATTGTCAATTTGAGAGTTTTTGTGAGGATAAATTGTACACACGAATTGAGAAATATGCAAGCTAAAGAAATTCTGTATTTCAACAATTTCAACGATAAACATTCCACGGAATAAAGTGAAGAAAGAAGAAAAATTACGATGGAACTTCGTTATTTTAACGAAATGTACAATTTATGTTTATAAGTACTTTCAAATGTCCAATACTCCTTCAACAAACTAAAGAAATCCTAATAATTCAACAATTTCAACACTATTCATTCCACGGAATACAATTTAAAAAAAAAGAAGAAAAATTGCATCGAAGGAAATCTCGCGTGTAATTGTTAAAATATGGAACTTCTTTATTTCAACGAAATACACTGTTTATATTTATAAATAGTCTGAAATGGCCATCACTCTCTACATTTCAACAATTTCAACGATAAACATTTCACAGAATAAAGTGGAAGAAGAAGAAGAAAAGGTCACATTTAATTGTTAAAATATACGATTTCTTTATTTTAATGAAATGTACAATTTCAATGTAAAACATTCTCTATATTTCAACAACTTCAACGCTAAACATTCGATAAAACAGAGCAAAATAAAAAAGAAAAACAAAATTCCCTCAAAGAAAATGACCATCAAAACACAGGATTTCTTAATTTCAATCAAATATACAATTTACCTTTGCAAATACTCTCAACCAACCAACGCTCTCTAAATCTCAACAATTTCAACACTAAACATTCCGCATAAGAAAGTAAAGAAAAAAAAGAGAATCAAAATCCCCTGAAAGAAAAATTCAAATTTATGTATATGAATACTCTCAAATGACTAAACATTCCCTGTATTTCAACAATTTCAACGCTAAACACTCCACGAAACAAGGCAAAATAAAAAAAATCAAAACTCCCTGAAAGAAAATTCTCCTCAAATTAACATCCAACCGTCAAAGCACAGGACTTGTTAATTCCAATCAAATATACAAATTACAAATACTCTCAACCAACGAACGCTCTCTACATCTCAACTTCAACGCTAAAAATTCCACGAAACAGCGTAAAAAAGAAAATCAAAATCCCCTGAAAGAAAAGCTCGCACTCTCGGGGTATATTCACCTCTGAAATTGATCTTCTCGATATCCCTGTGTCAGCTTCGAATCATTCACGAGATATCCCACTTTCTCACAGTCACAAAACAGTAGTCCAGGTGTAACGTCGCCAGGCGACGGATGCTGGCTTGGTATTTACCGTTTCAACTGCTCGCCGGATAACTTTTCCACGTTTTTTCTTCTCCTAATAAGGGACGAGACTTAGCTCGCGTGTAAGCACATTGTAATTCCGTTGGTTCTCGATCGATGGTCCGACGGAGTCGCTCGATCCAAACTGATCGAGGAGAGATTAGCGAGGCTTTCGGGTTCGCGAAACACGACCGTGGGGGGGCCTCGAAAACGCGCTGAGGTCAGCGCGCGAGGGATCCAAGGACCCGCGGGGGGATTTTTCACCTGGTTCCACGGAGCG